AATACCTTGAGCCATGTGATCATCCCATATGGTGTGCATGGGAGCCAGAGCGTCCCTGTGCATGTGTGTGTGCATGTGTGTGTGCATGAGTGTGCACATTCATGTTGGGGGAAGGGAATGTCCTATCTGTGGGTATCTGCAAAGATGAAAATGAAACAAAAATGTTATTGAAATAGATTTCATACAGTTTGATACACAGTATTTATTTGCTCTTTAGTTTGACTAATAAGGACCTCTAATTTTTTTTGATAATAATTGTTTTCTCATATGCTGCTTCAGCCCGTTGCTGAAATAGAGCTCCAATTACACCAAACTGGCGGGAGCTGAAGTGCTCTATGAAACTTGCTAGAATTGCAAAAAAAAATATTTAAGAAAAGAATTCCCTCTGTTAGCAAACTTCAGTTTAAAATAGCCTTCTGTGATAAGTGAGTTAAAATATCGCAAAACACATTTCTGAGTGTTGGTGTTAGCACATATCTGGTCATTCCTATTAGTAAGATATGAAAAGTAGTTCATGTCAAGTTCATTTCTTTCAAAACATAGATAAACATAGATTCTTTATATGTAATACATGATAGTTATAGAATCTCAGTCTGCTAGTATAACAATTCCGACAACATAAGATAAATAAAGCCAGGCAAACTGCAGTTTATTGTATGTCTGGGCTAAGTAATGACGTCCTGATAAAGTATTACCCACAACCCTCGCTTATTGCCAACTGCTGTGTGTAATCTAAACAGTATCCCGAGTTGTGGGGAACTCCACGATTAGTAGCTTACAGCGATGCAACAACACTCGGCCCTGTTCTGATTAAGCAACTCTTATCTTTTTCTCCTAAGTCAAAACGGTTGCCTCCTCAGCAAACAGATTCAATGTCTGTCTGAGCCTCAGGAAACCTAAATCACACACACACACACACACCCACACACACACTCTCACACACACACAGCACTTTTACTTTTGCTCCTCCGTCGTTAACAAGCTCAGTTGGTCAAGGATACCGATTTAACTGATGTGGTTGGTCCCGATGATTGTATGAAGCGGTGTAACATTTTCTGACTGAATCATCTTTCTGAAAATCGATTCTCCTGCTAACAGAATATGTATCGAGATGCAGTTTGGTACTGGACAATCCATAAGGAATTCATGTCAAAGGAACGGACATAACAGATAGGGAGCTTTTGATATAGGCTTTACAAATGCGACGCATTGTCTTCAAA